GAGGACAAAATGTTCACTTGCTGCCTAATATATCCCACCCACTGACAGGAGCCATGATAACCAGATAATCAGTGTTATTCACTTCACCTGTCAGTGGTCATAATGTTATGGCTGATCACACACACAGCACAGTAGATCCAAAGTGTTCTTGACAGCACCTCAAAATCAGAGTTAAGCTGAATCAAATATTACTCCACAAAAGGAGGTTAACATCTGTGATCTAAATAATCTAACTCCACATCTATTATCATTAAGGTGGTGACAGCCTGTAGCCATCCTGTCCTGAAGACATTTATTGATAATCTGTAGATATAAATGTCTCATTCTAAGATAACAAAAACATAATTCCTGTATTCACGTGATTATACACCAATGAAAACATAGTTATACATATTATATTATATTTGTGGCAACAGATCTTCCTAAATCAATGGACGTTTAAGGCGTTAACATTAACTTACTATTTGCAGCTTGGTCAGCTTCCCAATGTCAGCAGGCAGGACCTCGAAGTCGTTGTCACTCAGATAGAGAGCACGAAGAGTGGCTGCAAAACAAGCACCTCTGTTAGTCTGCATGACAAGACAACAGACACAACAAGACAGCTTTGTCAACAAGCAGTGAAAAAAAGAGCATCAGCCTCCTGTAGAGTTCTATTTAGCTCTTAATGTGAAATCCATATAACACTGTACATAGCTAATGTAGTCAGAGGCCTGGCTTCTCTTTTCCTCATGCTTCCAGCATCCTGACTCCTTAACCTCTGTTACCACCTGATCATGATCAGCTGAGTTAGATCAATACATTCATTTGTTAAGGACATAATGAAAGATAAACTTTCCCCTCTGATTAACACAATTTCAGAGCAGTTAATGCGTGTGTTTATTCGTACACACTTACTGAGGTAGAAGAAGTTTCCTGGCAGGGAGTTCTGGTTCAGGTTGTTGTAGGTGAGGTCCAACACTTCCAGAGCTGGCAATGAACCAAATCCTCTAGGCAAGCTGCTCAGACGGTTCATACTGTACTCACAAACATATACATATATGCAAAACATACATTACACACACAAACCTTCACTGAAAAAATGCACTTTGTCTGAGCTTTTTGTGGCTTTCAAATTCAGGCAATATTTTAAAGACAAATTAACAAGCTTAATTCAAAGATTATTAGACAAGATGCAACTATTTTTAGTAACACAATGACCAACTAATTGAAAAGAAATCCCAATTTACTGACAATACATCACAGTTATTAGCTTTCTTGCTGATTTAATGTTGAGAAAACAATGGCAAATCCAACAGCTCATAGAACCTAAGCTTCCAGCCGATCACTCATTAAAACAAACTAGTTCTTAAGATACGGCAGCAGAAGGATTGTCAACAGCACAGTATTTCAGGGTATTTACAAAGAACAGTGTAATGATTCAGACACAAATGCAGTAACTTCATGTTCAATATCGAGATGCATGATTACTACTACTTAAATCCTCCCATACTGTATTGCCCCTTTGAGGAAACATTTTAGGTATTCCACCAGTCAAAGATGTGTTTTGCTGCAAAGTTTCTCATTGAGCCTATGCCATAGCCTACACACACTAAGCAGGCACTAAGCAGTGATCTACGTTGTGATGAGAATTTATACTTGCTGGTGTGTCTGTGTTGCTCTGCAAATAGCTGTGCAAAAATGCTAGTTGCTAGTTGGTGCTGGGCTTTCTATTCCACTGTCTTGAGTTTTGACTGAAATTGAAACACTCTCTCGTCTCTCTCCTGTTTTCCTCATTTCATTTTTTTGTTTTTGAAAGGACGGGAATACGAGGGGACAGACCGTCTGTCCATGTGTATGTTTGAAGAGGGATTCTCAAGCAGTATTATTAACTCATCTGGGTTTTCCATGAGTCACGTCCCATTTGCAGAAAATGCACACACACTAAGCAACCAATCACAGTTGTTGGTCTGTGTCAACCCCAATGGGGATTTACATGTGTACTTGAGAGGTGCACATCAGGCTATGGTGTAGACTATGGCATAGGGCAGGCATGTCCAAAGTCTATATAATCTGTCTGGTCTGTCTGGTTAATGCAGTTGACCTCCCGCTACTGGGTTAGTAGCTGTTTTTTAGTCAGTAGCTTAATAGTTTTGTCATGGCTACTGCAGCTAAAAAAAGAAAGGTTGATAATGAGGGCTGCTGCTTCCAAGAGCGATGGACATTACAATATTTATTTACTGAAAACCAAAACAGTTGTGTTACAGAGTGTTGCCATTTCTAAGGAATTTAATGTAAAGAGACACTATCAGACAAACCATGCTTATACATATGACAAGTTGACCAGGAGCGATCGTGTGGGTGAAACAGCTCTAACCTGTCTTGGCCTCCCAGCAGCAGCTCTTTACGAGGGCTTGCGATTCAAAACAGTACAAAAGCAAGCTATGAAGTGGCTATGTTAATCGCCAAACGTGGCAAACCTTTTACAGAGGGTGAATTTATCAAATTTATTTTGATTTTTATTCTTTAGCCTGCAATAAAAGCACAGATGCTTCTGACACCGATCAGTTACAATTTTTTTTGAGAGGAGTCGATGATGACATGAACATTAGTGAAGAGCCGCTTGACCTCCACAGTCTCAAAGGCCAG